ATGTCAGAAAAGTGGACACAATTAACTTTTGTAATGAAAAAAGCGGACACTACAAACCATTGTAGTCTGAAAAAGCAGGTACAATTAACTTTTGTAATGAAAAAAGCGGACACTACAAACCATTGTATTCTGAAAAAAGCAGACACTACTAACTTTTGTAGTCTCAAAAAGCGGACACTGTTAACTTTTGTAATGAAAAAAGCGGACACTACAAACCATTGTAGTCTGAAAAAACAGACACTACTAACTTTTGTAGTCTCAAAAAGCAGACACTACTAATTTTTGTAGTCTTTGTCTGACCTTTGTGGTCTATGTCCAACTTTTGTAGTCTATGTCCAACTTTTGTAGTCTTTTTGGTAGTCTATTAGTAAACTTTGTAGGCTATAACTTACTTTTGTAGTATATCAGCAATCTTTTGTAGTCTGTCAGTGTCAATTACCCTTTTAGGGCATGTACCTTCCTTTTTGGGATAAATTTCCCACGATACAATAGTTGTAGCCCCTTCTCTTAGCTTTCTAAATCTGTTGAAATCATGTTGTTTAGTGTTCTTTTCATATAGAAAATTGCAAAAAACAAAAAAAAACGCAGCGCTTTTGAAAACCTTTTATCTCATATCTCCACAATGGAAGCACTTTAGGACATAATTCCAACTGATTCAGGAAGCTATGGTAAAGAGCTACAACTTTGGTTTTTTTACCATTTTTGGAAATTGGTCATGTGACCACCCTCCCAATGACCCATTGGATGGACCATAATAGCTATTTTATTGCTATCATGGAATATAATGAAAAATCATAATGATAGCCCTGGAGGCAGATATGAAATTGGAATGAAATATTGAGATACTCAATGAAAAATCCCAATGAAAGCTGTGGAATGTTCAATGAAAGTGCACATCATTAATTATGAAAGAAGCAATGAATACATATAACCTAGCTAATGAAATATTTATTGAAATGCACAATGAAAGCACCCAGAATTGATAATGAAATATTCAATGAAAGCGCACAGCATTTAATATGAAAGAGGCAATGAATACACCTGACCTAGGGAATGAGATATTTATTGAAATTGCACAACATTAATTATGAAAAGTACAATGAAAGCATCCAATATTCCTAATGAAATATTCAATGAAAGCGCACACAATTAAATATGAAAGAGGCAATGAATACACCTGACCTAGGGAATGAGATATTTATTGAAATTGCATAACATTAATTATGAAAAGTACAATGAAAGCATCCAATATTCCTAATGAAATATTCAATGAAAGCGCACACAATTAAATATGATAGAGGCAATGAATACACCTAACATAGTGAATGAAATATTTATTGAAATCACACAGGATTGATTATGAAAAAAGCAATGAAAGTGCCCAAAATTCCTAATGAAATATTCAATGAAAGTGCACACCATTAATTATGAAAAAGGCAATGGATACACCTAACCCAGTGAATGAAATACCTATTGAAAGCACACAGGTTTAATTATGAAAAGTACAATGAAAGAACTCAACAGCGTCAATGAAAAATTCATAGAAAGTGCATGATAATAATTATGAAAGCTTTTATGAAAGCTCCTAAGAAATGTTATGAAAGGGTCCTGTGGTCTTTGCCTACATTTTATGAAAAGAACATAGCCCTCATAAGAAAGAAAGACACAGGACACACCTATGAAAGGCCTTTCATAAAACTTGTGGACTTATACACACAGCTCTACAGGCAAGTGCCTTAGTTTTATGATAAAGGTGGTAGCCACTTGTGAGTGAATGGGCTAACGATCTGCAACAAGAGAGTGTCAGTCGTGAAGAGCAGGAAGGAGCCAATACGATGCCTCAAGTGTCAAGGCTGGGATCACATCGCCTCCGAATGCAACATCAAGGACAAGGAGGTAAATGTATGCGGAACTTGCGGGGGGAAGGACCATTGGACCAGTAGGTGCATGCAAGAAGGTGTTACTTTCTGCTCTTCATGCAGGACGGCCGACCACACCAGCTGGGATCGCCTTTGCCCAACTTTCCTGAGGAAGGTCGAGGACCTCAACGCCAGGGACCCAGCTAACGATCTGCCGTTCTTCCCAGCAAAGGAGTCATGGACGTGGTCTCCATCCTATCCATCGCAGGGACACAGGGTCCCCCTGGCCGAGATCCAGGTCAACCAAGCTCAGCCAACTTCCCAAAGGAACAGGTACAGGCAGACACAGATTAACTTCAAGCATGCGGCCCCAGGTGGAAGACCGTACACCAGGGAGCCACGGTCGAGCCAGCGCTCGTCTCCCCCAGTAGCTAAGTCCCCCCCTCCTCACTTCCCTAACCCAGAATCCCCCATAGCCCCTCCCGCATCGAGCAATGGATCAACGCCCGCAGATAGTTCCCAACCTATGACCGTGCCCAATGTCTGAACAACTGAAACCATCACCAACAAGACTACAGATACTACAAATCAACCTCAACAAATCATCAAAGGCACATCTAGAGTTATACAACAGGGTTTCAAAGAAAGAGTGGGATATGGTGCTGGTTCAGGAGCCACACGTGACGACCATGGGCAACATAAGAACACCGAACGGATTCGTGGCGGTCACCCTGGTTGACCGATACAAGGACGGCACCCCAATGACAAGAGTGGTAACATGGGTTAGCGCAGATCTCGCCACTAGCTCATGGAAGATACTCAACATGCCGGGAACCAACGATGTCGTTACGATTCAGATGGCTGGTGCCTACGGACGATTCACAATAATCAATATCTACAACGACTGTACTCACTCAAGAACACTACGCGTGGTCCGCGAGTTCCTATGCACAAACCGCGCGGAAGTTCTGTCGAGGGAGGACGATCACCTAATATGGGCAGGCGACTTCAACAGACATCATCCGATGTGGGACGAGGAGACGGATGACAGGCTCTTTACGCCAAGGGCTCTGGATGACGCGGGGATGCTAATCGAACTGTTGGCAGATCTTAACATGAAGATGGCCCTCCCGAGGGGCCAGCCGACTTTGGAACATCTGGTTACTAAGAGATACTCACGTCCTGACAATTTTTGGTGCACAGAAGAGGTTTACGATCTGATTGTCCGTTGCGAAGTGGATCCTTCGATAAGGCCACCGGCGACCGACCATTTCCCAATAGCAACATACATTGACCTACCCCAGGAACGCATTGCCTTCAAGGCGTCGTACAACTTCAGAACCGTGGACTGGGAAGACTTCCAAGAAAACCTGGCCATACACCTACTTGAAATACTGCTACCTCAGCCACTCACAACTAGGCAACAGTTCCAAGAAGCCGCAGAAGACCTCACAGAAGCGATACAAGACACCATCTGCACCAGAGTCCCAGAGAACAAGCCATGTCCGTACTCAAAGAGGTGGTGGAGTAGTGACCTCAGTCGGCGGAAAACTATGATGAAAAAGCTAAGTCGCCTCGTGTACAGATTCAGGGCCCTCCCAGATCACATCTTGCACACAGAGTTACGGATGGCCAGGAACGAGTACGGCGAAGCCATCATAGAGGCAAAATGGCATCATTGGGAGAATTTCCTCGAAAACGCAGCTGAGCAGGACTTATGGACAGCAAACAAGTACCTCAAGGAGCCAACTGGGGACAGGGGGAAGACACGCATCCCAATGCTCAAGATACCCATTGCAGGAGGAGAAGGTCTTTTGCAGGAAATCAACACCAATGACGGTAAGGCGGAGGTACTGGCTCAAATCTTCTTCCCCAAGAAGCCGGACCTCTCCAGGGTCCCAGAGAACTACGACTACCCAGAACCACTTCCACCGCCACCTCCCATCACTCAAGAACAGATCATGTGCCAGATACGAAGACTCTCACCCTTCAAAGTGTGCGGACCAGATGAAATCCCGAACGTGGTCCTTCAGAAGTGCATGGAGCAACTAATTGAATACCTAACATATCTTTTTAGAGGTGTATTCACACTGAACACCTACTGCCCAGGCTGGCAGGTGTTCACCACAGCGGTGTTGCGAAAACCAGGTAAACCATGCTATGAGGTGCCAAAGGCATATAGGCCGATAGCTCTCCTTTGTACCATCCCCAAGGTGCTGACCGCGATCATCACGGAAGACATCTCCCATCTGGTGGAAAAGGACGCCCTGCTTCCAGACACGCATTTCAGAGGACGACCAGGCTGCACCACAACAGACGCCATTCACTACCTTGTAGGGAAGATCAAGTCTGCCTGGGGCGAAAAGAAGGTTGCTTCAGTGCTCTTTCTGGACGTTGAAGGGGCCTTTCCAAACACGGTCACAGATAGGCTAATCCACAATCTCAAGAAACGATGGATACCAGCCACTTACGTCAGGTTCATTGAGTGACTGCTGAAGGGACGCAAGACCAGGTTGAAATTTGACGATTTTATTTCAGAACTCATCGAGATTACAAATGGCATTGGACAAGGCGACCCAATCTCCATGCTACTGTACGTCATATACAATGCGGACTTACTGGAGGCTCTGCGGTGCCTGAATGAGGACGCTATCGGTTACGTGGACGACGCACTGGTAGTAGCAACGGCAAGAACGTTCAAAGAAATGACACGAACACTGAAGAGGTTCATGGAAAGGAGGGAAGGGGGGTTCGATTGGGCCAAAGATCACAACTCGAGCTTTGAGATCAGTAAGGTCGCAGTGATGCATTGTCGGCCTATGGCAAGGAAGCCTACCAACCGCCCAAACCCGGTGCTCCGGCTGCAGGGGAGGATAGTGGAGGAGGTGGACAGCTACATGTACCTGGGGGTGCATATAGACGCGCAGTTGCGATGGAAAGTGCAGGAGAACAGGGCGATAGCAAAGGCTACGTCATACATCATGATGTTTAGAAGGCTAACCCGCACCAACCTAGGTATCCGACCCAGGCTGATGCGCCTACTGTACATATCAGTGGCCATTCCCAAGATGACATATGCGCTGGACGTCTGGTTTGTACCTCCGCACAAGAAGGAGGGAAAACGGAGGAACAGTGGGTCGGTATGGGCACAGAAGTCCATGGGGAAGATACAGAGGATAGCTACAAGGGCGATCACAGGAGGACTGTGGACCTCACCAAACGACCTGCTGGACACACATGCCGGGGTCTTACCGGTGAACTTACTGCTTGAGCGCATTTGTCACACAGCTACAATTCGAACAGCAACACTACCCAGTGGACACCCTCTCCAGGCCGTGATACGGGGATACAGCAAGGCTCCGGCGAAGACTCATCTTGCCCCCCTACAGAAGCTAATAGAGTATTTCAAGATCAAGCCAAGAAGTTTTGAGACCATCACGCCAGATCCATGGCCACCTACATACAAGAGAATGTTTACGGCAACAATAGCGGGCTACAAAGAAGACTCAATCAAGGACGAAGCGAAGAACGACTCTGACATCAAGATCTACACGGACGGGTCAGGATTCGAGGGAGGAGTAGGGGCAGCCGCCGTTCTCTATAGGAAGGGTGTTGAGGAACCAGAGAGAATTTTACGTTTTCATTTAGGATCCCTGAAGATGCATACAACGTTCGAAGGGGAGGCAGTTGGCTCCATCCTCGCTGCTTGGATGCTGCAAGGCCAACCAGAGGTAGGAAAGTCCATGATAACCAGTTACACAGATAGCCAGGCATTCATAAAAGCGACGAACACAAGGAAGTTGGGATCAGGGCAGCACCTGGTCATGGGATACTTGGGACTGACGGAGATCATGAGCGATGGGACTGACATCCCTCACCCCACAGATGCAGCCAAGTTCGCCCTCAAGTGGATAGCGGCACACATGGGGGTAAAGGGAAATGAGAGAGTGGATGAGGAGGCGAAGAGAGCGGCACAGGGAGAGTCAAGCCCGCCAGAGGAGCTACCTCCTATCCTTTGCAGACGACTACCACTCAGCGCGGCAGCAGTCAAGCAGGAACACGTGGAAACGCTAAAGGCAAAATGGCGGGCCACATGGGAGGCCTCGCCTCGATACGCAAGATTCCAACATGTCGACAAGAATTTCCCCTTCAACAAGTTTCGCCAAATCAGCGACAGGCTCTCCAGGCCCCAAGCAAGTTTACTAACACAGATATGGATGGGGCATATCCCGCTCAATAGTTATCTCTATCGCATAAAGAAGTCGCCTGAGTGGCGTTGTGCAACATGCTGGAGCAGGACAAGGACAGAGATTACGGAGACGGTAGTACACTTCCTCTTCGAGTGCCAGACATATGCGGCAGAGCGCTATGACATGGATAGGGCGCTGGGTCGTCTCTTGAGGGATCTCCAAGGAATCCTGGTGAGTCTGGACAGCATCAAGGAGCTGCTCAAATTCATCGGGAGGACGGCCAGGCTCAAGACTACGCTAGGAGACACAATAGGTGATGTATCTCACCTAGAGAATGAGGAAGATTGATGGATAACGCATGTTTACAGGAATCAACTACTACAGCACAGGTCTCAACAGACAAGCTGGCTCCATCCAGCGGGCTCACCCACAACACCCCCCCCCACTCTCTCTTTTACCCGCCTCTCAGTCTGTGGACCTCAAGCACAAGACTCATCTTTTCACCAGAGCCAAAAATTGCGCCGGAAACACAGGAGGACAGCAACGCACAAACACCAAGAAAACTGTCTTCACCTGATCATGCTCGTCCCATCGACTGTGCCTGTCGCTTCGTGATCGGGTACTTAATAAGCCGAAACACTACCAAGATGGATTGCACAGATAAGCAAGATGACGAGACTACCCCGCTTACCTATATAGATGTGCCCCAAAACAGTGTTTTCGTGCCGGGCTGGGTGGGAGAATGTTCGCCGTGGGCGTGCCCTCACCAGTGCATGGGGCAATCTCAAGGGGGTCAGGTATAAATGGCATTAGGGGCCATAGGTAGTCTACATAGTTGTAAAGTCTGACATAGGGCCTCACCCTAATAGACTCAAAATTTGACTCAAAAAAAAAAAAAAAATTTGCGGCCAACAAGTCAATATGCGACTTGTTGTATGCTTTTGATGTACTCATTGGAAGAATTTCCTCCATGCGGCGCCAGTAGAGCAGAAAGGCAAGAGAAGTCCAGCCACCTGTTGCAGCAACAGTCTCAGGTGGGACGCCGGCAAGAAGGAGTTCGACAGTGCCTCCTATACGGAAACTATGGCCAAGGATGTGCGCAAGCATGGCTGATGACCAAATTTGGTTGCAGAATTTGAGAAATTCATGCTTGAGAAGAATCTTTGATTGAGAGGAAGCGGTTGTGTATGCAAAGAGGGAGGTGGAGTGATCAGAAGATGAGTTGACTGCAAGATGGTTCTTCAGAGCAGCAACGGGGCAGAGAGTATTGTTGCGTGCAGTCAGAACGACGGAGGCACCGAGTTCTTTCGTTGTTTTCATCCAGGGAATGTGGAAACTTGCAGAAGATGAACCATCTCGCAACTTGCGAAAGGTAATCCTAGAAGAAAATGAGAGAGATTAAAGAAAGGAGGGAATAGCATACGAGGCGGAGCGAAGGACATTATAATTTTCATCAAAGGTGGCAGCAGTAGTAACCGTCAACTCGCCCAGTCGACAACAGCCGAAGAAGGCACATAAAGCGAGAGCCCACACAGCGGCATGGAGAGGGGTAGAGATGTTTAGGGCATGACGGAGAACCAACAAATGTTCGATGGAGACAGGAGCCCGAAGGGGCCATTTGTGTTTAGAGCCTTCCTTATTTGCCGAAATATGGGCGAGTTGAACCCATTTGTCATCGCCGAACCAAGGCGCATGATTTATGGTATGCCATGCACAGATACCGGACAACCAGGAGTGAATGGTGTTCCCGGATTGCCTGCCTTTGTGCTCTCCAATAAAGGCACAAAGGAGGGGGTAAGAAGCAGGCATTCGTGCTTCTTCGTCGATGTGCCATGTGTCACAGAATTGTGTAAACCATAGAGTGCCAGCAGCGTATGTACTTTTGGTGTTTGGTGCATAAGCACCATGAATTGACATCATTGCACTGTCAACCAATTTTGAAGGGAGAGAAGCAAGTAATTGCTGTCTGTGATGAGCAGCGTACGGTGTATCCCAAGAGAATAGATGATCAGTCGCTGGGACATGAGGGTGTAAAGTATTGTGAGTAATCTGGTGTCCTGCCTGTGGTTTCCTTGCCATGGTAGAGCAGGCAGGCAGGGCTGCTCTGAGGGTGTGAGAGGAGGGGATTCGGATCTCGGGATCAGGTTGTTGCATGGGAGTGAGTGTGTCGGATGGGAAAGATGTTGAAGTCAATGAGGGAAGGGAAGTTGTTGAAGTTCAATTCTTGAAAGGATGGAGGAAGCTTTGACGGCATGTGGGGCACGGAGGAACAGAGGATGTACCACCCACAGTCATCTCGACGACACGTGTCGCCGGTTTGAAAGGATAATCTAACCTAAAGACAGATAAGATGTCAGAGTAAGAGTGAAAGGGAGATAGTCTAACCTAGGCATGAAGAAAACATGAAGCTAGCTCATCAGGGAGCTTGAAAGACGGGAACATCTGCTTTCCAGCAGGTCCTGGTTCTCTGCACGAGATAGGATCAGCTGGATTGGCATGAGACTCAATATAGATCGTTTTTAAGATGATGGATACAGCCATGAGAGCAAGGTGTGTGCGGCAGACTGCAAGGTTTAAATGAATATTGCCGCTGCGGCCTTTATCAAGGGCACCGATAGTACCTTGATTATCAAAGTGAACAAGCAGGTGTGCATCACGAATACCTCTTGCTTCCAGGAATTGAATGAGAAGCTCAATAGCTACCATTTCGAGCCAGCAGATATCTCGGCCCTCAATCTTCCAGGAAGGCGAGAGCTGGAGAGCAGCCCATTCCTCGCCGATGATGATTCCGATACCCCATGAAGTAGAGGCATTGACGTACAGCCCAAGATCTGATAAAGGCCCAAGGGGACGAAGGGACTGAGAGATCCCACGCAAAGTGAGCTTGACGAGCCACCACTTGAGGTTGGTGATCAATGAATGCGGAGGGTACTTCGTGAGGAATTCATCACTATGGAACACAGATGTGAAGTTGGAGAGAGAAGGTAGATGAGAGCGGCCGTCGAGATAGATGAAGGCAATGTGGCAGAGAGAACCATGAATCTTCTCTACATCACGTAAATGACAAGGTCATCCTTCAAAGTCCCTGAGGAACTGAAGGACGCGCTGATGGAACTTATTTCTCTTCCCTTCAGGTAAGCTGACAAGCTTCTTGGGGATGTCCCAGAGGAATCCAATGAAAGTCGTCACAAATGAGAAACATTCATCACCCTTCTCATCGTGCCATGGAACACCCAGAGGTGAGATACGGCGGAGCATCTTGGATCGGTCATAGTCATAACAAAAGTTGCCCTCGATGAACAGACCAGATTTGGAAGGGAATTGAAAGATCTTCAAGTCGTCTTCATATTTCGGTACTGGAAAGACCCCTTCAGCTCTCCAAATATCGACGACAGTGTTCGCAATCATACCAGCGTTGCTGCTGGCGCAGGCAGCCCTGAATGGGTGATCGTGATTAATGAAGAAATCGTTCGATGTCCCTTGGACGACAAGCCAGGGTTTATGAGAAGGAAGAACAGGGCATGTACAATGAAATTTCTTGATATTGAGGGTACATGCCTGTGTTCCAGGAGGCGCCTGAGAGATCTGCGTGAACAGGAGTGTGAGCAAGAGATGCAGGAAAGATAATATACAGAAAGAGGAACATGATATGTAATGTCGAACTGAAGGGCAGTATGTACCACTCATGATAACCAAAGGGTTGTCATGCACAATGCATGGAAGATGAATCATCATGCAAAGCACATGGGACAGGAGTCATCATGCTCAGTGCATGGAAGATAAATCATCGTGCTCAGCATGCACGGGAGATGATCATCATGCTCGATACATGGGAGATGAATCATCGTGCTGATAGCATGGAACAGAAAGATGATAAGGATGATGATAAAGACAAGGTCCCAGGTAACTGCCTGCGGCAAAAATACCCAAAGAGCCACTGGGCGCAAGACCAGGGCTAGCCGGCAGTGAAAACATCTCCACGCACGAAACACAAAGGAGATGTGTAATAAAGAAAGAAAGAAAGGGTGGGAAATAGACAGATTGGGCAGTAACTCACGATGTCAGCAAGTTTTGATGTGGTGTCAAACCGTGTAGGAAATTCGTCCTTGCGGATGTGCGAATTGACGGATGCATGGACTTTTGTTGTTTTGGAGAGGTGTTGGCACACCCAAAGCTTGTCCGGCACTCCAGGATTTTGAGGTTGCACAGAGACGATGAGAGAGGATGATTGAAAGGGGCTGCATAGGATATGTTCAGTGACCTCTTGAGAGAAAGGGCCTGATAATCTGCCTGTGGCGAGTTCTTTGCTTAGCCAGTCAGAGATGGTGTCGGGATAAGACAAGATCGAGGGGTTGTTAGGCATGATAATAGTCTGGGAGAGCAGAGGCATATGACCGATAGGGAAGCCAAGGCGCAGATTGGAAGGGAGAAGGGAATAATTGTCGAAAAGGTGGTGCTTGCACAATAAGGTCTCAAAGGCATCAGTGTTGTAAGGGTGTAGAATTCGGTTGAATAAAAGGGTCTCTTCAGGAGAAGTATTGGATAAAGGAGGTCGAGAAATGATTGAAGAAGAGAAATCTGAGTAGGAGAGAGGAAGTGACGACGACGCTTGGACAAACATGTTAGTTTGCAGGTCGCGAACGGCAGATCCATGAGAAGGCATTGTGGTGTTTGCTCCTGCAGAAGGAGCAGACGTGGAGGTGTTTGTCTTTGTGGGAACAGGGATGTCTGTGGTCACCTCTGAGATTCCAGCTGATGCATATAATGCGGTTGTCGGGGCTGAGGAGATTGCGGTCAGTGTACTTCACCCATACCGACTTGCCGTCACTTTTGAACTTGATGGGTATGGTGCTGTCTGCGTGTTGGGTCGTGTCGTGACCTCGCTCGGCACAGATGAGGCAGTCGGGCATCGAGGAGGAAGATCGACCACTACCTGATTGAAAGGGCTGGGGGGGACGAGACTGGGAGGAGCGAGGGGTGAGTTTCGGGATGAGCTTGTTGGCAGTACTGCTGAAAGAGGATTTGGGTGCTGACGACAAGATCATCCCATGGACTTCAACCATCATTTCTTGCTGCTTCTCAGATAATTTGTAAGCCTGATAATAGTGGGCTGCGTCAAATTCTCTGTACTTTGCCCAGTGTTCCTGACAGAATTTCAATTCATCAGCTTTCCATGCATCGTAAAGTTTGTCCTTGGTGTCCTGAGAAGTGTAGAAACAAAAGTGATCATTGTACCAAGCGCTGTGCACTTCACATGTGCCCTCTTCATCCCACTCCTTTTGGAAAAGGTACATGTTGCCTGCCGCTTCAGTCCACTGGCTACAAGACAAAGATAGTTCCTTGCCGAAACGTGTTGACAGTTTTTCAATATCCAAAATGATGTTACCTTTCATCTTGCCAGGGTTCAGATTAGTCTTCGTCATTGCTAGAGTAGACGCCTCAACATTTAAGATATTCAGGTTTTTGTTGAGGAAGAAAGGGAGTGGAACGACAATGCAGAGTTCGGTGTCAAAGAGGTTTTGTGGGAATGTGGCTTGCCATGGGACTCCCACAACCCAGGGAACCATCTTCTGTCCGTTCATGCAATGTCACTTTGCAATCCTAGTGTCTTCTGCCGAAAGTCTCTGTTTGTCAGCAGGTTTCCGTTTCAGCTTTGATTTGATATCTTCATCCGCAATCCATTTGGCTAGTTTGGAGTAGATGAGACCGGGAAAGGAAGCCACGAAGGAAGGGACATGGAAGCGGTTAAGGTCTACTTCGTCAAGAGAGATAAGAGAAGCCTGTTCAGAACCAGGTTCCTTGTGAACAGTAGGGTCAGACGCGTGATTGAAAGATTTCCGAGATCTTTCAGCATTCTCTTCCTCAATTTCTTTATTCATCTGGAGTATGGAGATCAACAGCAAGTTTTTTAGCATTTGAATGATAGCTGAAGATGTATGAGTGTGAGGAACGCGAGGAATAGCAGTAAAAGAATCAGAGACAGGTGTAGCCACAGTTTGAGAGCTTCCAGTAGAGCTTTCAGTACTAGTAGTAGCCATTGTCAGAGGAATGTCGGCCATTGTAAAGGTCAGGAAGAAATTGCCAAGGTTCAAAAAATTCACTGATGAATGAGAGGATCTTTTTACGCATCAGTGTTGAACTTAAGGCTTAGGGGTTAATAAGGTTTAAGGCTTAAAATCATTCTAAGGCTAAGGGTTAGCATCATTCATAGTTTTCAATAGGTCTTAAATAAGCCTTAGAAATGTGTGCCAAGAGAATATGACTACTACTATGTGGAATGAATCAGATGGACAAATTGCAAATCTACTCCACTTCCAACCTTGCCCCAGCCAAACTTGGAAACATGTTATCCCCAGTACCAAGCAAAATGGTCCCCTATCCATTCATACTTTTCTTTTCATGGCCAAAAAAATATGATATTGATGAGCAGGCTGCAGGTGAGGCAAAACCACTTTATCACTGGTACCCAGCAGAACCAGGTCCACATTCTTGCACACTGTCATTGCTGAAAATAAACTGATAAGTATTGGTGGACAGTACAGATGACACAAAATCAGAGGTGGCAGTCATACATGGAGGAAGCCCCATTGATGACTTTTTGGCAGATGAGGAGGCAGATGAGAAGAGAATATGTACCAGATGATAGGAAAATTAGAGGGCCTAGGTGATGACTTTGAAGGACTGACAAAATAATATATTTTTAGGCAGAGCCTTAATAACCCCTTAGAACCAAGTCTTAATTAAGGCCTGTAACTAAGACCTAAGCCTTAGCCAAAATTCTGGAGGTTAATAACCCCTTAGAATCCAACACTGTTAATACGCATCAGAACGATAAACTGAACGACAAGCAGAATCCAGTCTCCTTGTCTGACATTTGGAGACTTCTAGGTTCTTTGTACTTATGAGTACAAACGCGAGGTTTCGTTCTGACGCTCTGACGTTATCTTATCCGATAATGAGCTTATCACTCGTTCCTCGTGCTCGCTCATCGCGGAAATTTTCACCCCTTCCTATCAAAATGCACCAGACGTTATAGGGCAGGATCTTGCGCGTGAATTTTCTCATTTTTTTGCCTCCGACTTTAAAGTCCGCTGATGGGATCTTATCTTCCTCCTGAACAGCGCTTGATCCTGCCCTATAACGTCGGGAACGAGACTACCTCAATTCTACCTATTACATTTTACCGATCCCAGGCTTCATCATGATGTTCATAGATGATTGTAATGGGCTCATCAGCGACGCAACCCGGATAGTTGTACGCCTGCGGATGACAGACAGGGTCATTGCCGTTCATCGGCACCTCGCCATCTATATCTTTGAACAGCTGAATGTTGTACCAAAAGGATGACAAGCCTTCAGCCTGCATAACCCGGGACTTCAAGCGAGCCACTGTTCGAGGTGGAGCAACCGAAAGGATGTTGATGCGACCCAAGGAAAACTCCTCCGAATCAAAAGAAGTCTTTGAAGCCACTGCACCCTCTTCCTTATAAAGGCGGTAGTAAACTGCCAGGCAAAATGCATTATGTTCACTCAAGTAACGAGATTTCGATCATTGAACCCACCATAGTGGATTTGCATGTCTAGCTTCAGGTATACCCTCCAACGAAACTAACCTTCTTGATAAATTTTCATCATGATCTAGCCCCGAAATGACCAAGACGATAGGGTCGTCCTCAGATAAGCCAGGGCCAGTTGACCCTCTGAGCCGACTTTTCCTCAACTGCAGTCTGGCTTGAAAGTGATTCGAATAGGGTGCTTGTCATTCCCGAAATGTCTTCGATGTTGCATAGATGCTTTTTCACAGACGAGGCGGTAAGTGGGGGTGTGATGAGCTTTGGAAGAGTGCGGCCGATGCATGGATCAGTTGCATGGATCGGATTGTTTGACGAGATTGATCCATAGCTCGTGTAGAGCCAATAGTATACTGAGGACACCTTCGTATGAATGGATAGAGAGCTTCATGGAAGATAACGCACCGAAACGAGGGCTATTATCCTCCGGGGTTACCTGTGAAATTCATTAACACCCTTAATTTGGTGTAGTGATCTGCACTTACAAGCTCTCCTCCGAGTCCTCGACCGTCTGATGAGTCTTTACCAGGACCGGAGTGAAGTGTAGATGAAGCTGAAGACATAACCAATGATGTTTTTGGAGTTCAAATGAGATCGTACACGAGGTTGAGGTAGGGTGTCCGCTGGTTGCGCGTTGGTTCTAGTACTTAGCGCTCAAGGCTACTATCCATCCAAATCGTGAGAAAAGTATCGTGGTCAGAGCGCTGAGCGCTCAATTTTGGCTGGTGAGTCCTTGATGGAGACACTTGAGGCAGGGTCCAATGTGTGATCTAGGCAAAGGTACCTCCATAATTGTCGACACTTGTTGAATAATAAAGCTGATGTGCATCCCGAAAATATTGATTATCAAAATCTCAAATTGATGAACAATAAGAACATTGAGCACAACGAGTGGTCATTTCCGTTATTTTATTCTTCAACATAATCTTCAGCTGAGTGGTGTTACCATGGCTACCAAGGTTATTTCCCAAAGAAATTGTTTAGATATGTAAATTGAATGTGCTCAACATTCTTATTGTTCTTCATTTTGTAATTTTGACAATTGATGTTTTCCGGATGCACACCAGCTTCTTTATTTTACAAATGGCCACAATTATGGAGGTACATACAGTCGTGGACAAGCAAAGCCCACCAATTGCTTATCTGGCTGAAAACTCAATGAAATCGCGAGATTTTTTCAGAATCTTGCTCAGTTTTTCAAAAGACGTCGAAAACACCCCCTCCGAAGTTTTTCCCACGAGTAATTAGGAAGCGCCAAATTTTTGGGGTCGAAAACCGCCAATGTAGATACGAAATTTAGTTGAGTACTGAGTCTAAATGCATCATTGCGGTCCTCGAAACGCTGCGATGCCCTTTCTGCTTTCGCACAGCCCACTGGGCAGCCTCCCCAGTCAATCCGATGCGATAAGCTGACATCCACCGCCACGATCGGTTGATGAATCGCCAGATCACCTCAGGAGGACAAGCGTTCAGCGCTTCTGAGGCAGCGTCTTTTGCCTGTTGGAAAGTATTCTTGTCTACTTGTCGATATCTGTATTTAGCCCATCCCCAATACTATAGAGTAGAATCAGAATAAAGTTTGCCATAGGAAAGTATCAAGGCTCACCATTTCAATGGGATTGAGCTCGCAATGGAATTTAGGAAGAAAAATACACTCATGCCCGGCCTCCCGAATTACAGTTTCAAGAACGGAAATCTGGTTAGCAAAATCTTCTTGCTTACTGAGAAGACGTGCCATGCAGCAATTCTCATTCTCGAAAGGGCAGACTGGTGCACATTTAGCGCGAAGGTGGCGCACATCAAAGCCACGCTCTTCAAGAGTTTGTTGAAGCCCTTTTTGTTGCCCAGTCTCGGTGGTCATTTTTTGAATCCTGCCGCGATATTCTGGAAATGGATTTGAATCTGGAATAATAGTGTCTTTTTGCCGACGTTGCGCTCCACCGTTCGATTTATTCATTTCAAAGGCTTTGAGCGCATCAGGTGCTAATGCGGCGTGAGCAGATGATTGATCATAGATAAAAAGTGCCTGGCATCCTGGATGTGCTTCTTCGAAAACCGGGATTGCCTTGTTTTTCACCTGATCAATAAGCTGCTTGGAATCCCACCATGGATCACCATTGGAGCCTGGATAGATTATCTGCCGTGCTTCCTTTAAAACTTCACCGTTTGGGCCGTTCACGACCAAACGCCCATTCTCAGCCTCAATATATTCTGAGATGTGTATTAAGCGTCCCCTGTCTTTTTTTGGGATGATCTGCTCCGTTGAATGTAACCTGGAACAAAAAACAATAGTTAGAACTAAGGCAAATAAGCCAAGGGAACAATAAACATACCAAACCGATGCTGTATGCTCAAAGGCATGGAAAGACGACTCATCGTGAAACTCGGGGATAATTTCTTTCTCTCCCAGTTGAAGCAAGGGTGAAATTCTCTGTAAATCATCACCTATACGCTCATACCTCGCCATTCGGCTTTCAAATTCGGCCATTTTTGGAAGGAAAATATTCTGACGATAGGAAACAACATCTGCCCGTTCGTGTCCATCCACGTAAACGCCCTTCTTAATTCTGGTGCGATGCCAACCAAGCTTAACGAGCCAGCGACGAGCTGTTCTCTCGCAAAGTGGCTTGTTGGGATAAATACCGAGCGATGGAAGTATTGATTCGTTAAGGCCTTTCTGAAATTTGACTGGGGTAACTTTCCCCTTCTGCTGCTGGATAAGCCAAGCACGAGATGCACGACGAACTGCCTCATTTTTCAAAATTGATCGTGAGTTCTTCTGCCCACCACGTCGCTCCCGGGGAAGCTGTTCAAAAATTTGATAGTGGCGTGCAAGGGCTCGGATTCTCCTTGCAAAATGATCTGACGATCCTTCGAGTTTTTGGTGCCACTGCTTGGCAATGTCTTTGCTTGCTTCTATTCTACCAAGTCCTTTGAGGCGAAGCGTGGCGAAATTACGAAGAATCATGAGTTGGTTAATTTGGGATAAGGGAAGCGACTTGAATTTTTTATTGAGGTCATTCTTAATTTGATCGCGAAGTGCGTGCCAGTCTCGTATTTCGCTTGGATTTGACGCAAAGCATTCGTCGAGTTCCGCCTCCCATTCCTCATCTGCAAGTTCTAAATCATCAGTATTTTTCTGAGCTGCATGATGGGGGTCTGCAGAATTTTCGGGGTTACTCTCGCATCCATTCTTTCTCTTTCCTAGGAGCGAGATCTGGTCATCAAATAATAAACGCGGTGGACTCATCGATTCTTCACGGATCTGGACCAAATCACAAAAAACATCTGCTGGGGTTTCGTCATCAAACATTAAACGGGGTGGGCTGGCAGATTCAATGCGAATTTGAATGTCATTTTCTCCTGCATCTTCTTCGGCAACAATCTCTGCGTCTCTTTCAAGAGGAATTTCGAGCTCTGGACTCTCCTGCTTGATTGTGTCAACCTGATAAAATTTTAGCAGCTCTAAATTTGATTAAAAAGTATATTTGACAGACCTCAAATGTATCTTCCCCAAATCCACTCGAATCCGATTGACCTGAATCTGATTCCATGTTGTCCTCATGGTCTATACATGGCCTTTTGTCAGTCTTCGTGAATCCGAGATCTTCAAGAGTCTTCTGATCTTTTAAAAGGGACTTATAACGACATTGAGTTCGCGTCGATTTGCTCCCAACATCTGGACCTTTTTTATATTCTTTAGGACGGTTTGCGACTATCAAAATGGGATTAACGCGGAAAGTGAAAGCCGAGTTTAAAGCACGCACTCTTTCTCTCCTTCCGCAACTTCTTTCTTGTCTTTTTTGGCACCCAATCCTCATCCATCAAATTGTCCCCGACATCCATCGCCATTCGCATGAGGGCGACATACAAGCCCTTGTTTCTGTACTTTCTTGGATTCACCCCGGGCCGTATTTCCTCGACCTTGTCAAGAAAATCCTCTTCGTCTTCACTATCAATATCACCATCGGACTCTACACCATCACACACTGGTCTACTGCTGTCAACGTGCACATTGGGAACCCACTCTTCATCGTCGACATCATCGAGATCGTTATCTATCAGCAGATCAGGTGTGTGGGATGTTTCCACCCGCGGGCCGCAGATTGGCTCCGAATCCGTGTGAGAAACGCCTGTCGTGGGCTTCGACTGATTTCGGAGACCAGAGATGTTGCGTTTGACTTTCTTCTTAGGAGGCATTGGCGTATACAGTCAAATTTCAACATTTTATTGTGGGGCAACCACTCGATGAAACCCTTTGGAACGTGGTGGACACGCACCATTTATCAAAAGGAAGCGATTACACATTTTTTCAGATTTTTCCATGTCCTTTTAAGGGTTTTCGCCAAAATCTCAGGGACCATTTCCTTAAATAGACATTTTCTCAAGAACGGCTCGGTGAATCTCTTTGAAACTTGGCCGGGAGCTTCACCTAACTAATACACAACGTTTCAGATACTCAAAAAGAAAGTGCTATGTCAGCCATTTTTTTAGTGGGCTTTGCTTGTCCACGACTGTATGTCCAAATTTGTCCTGAATATTCTTTGGACCCTGTCTCAAGTGAGATGAGGTTGAAAGATCACGATAGCGGTTACAAAGCGGAACGATCGTTTACGAGACGACTCCTTTGGGTTCCTTTACCACGGCCTTGGAGTCCAAAGTCGTCGTAAGTTCAACAGTTCGTGACTGTAGCACCAATATTGGGGCGAACCCTCAAACAAAGAGTGGCGGTAAGATCATCCTACATACATATATCAACCAAAGAATAAGATTATCTGGGCGAAAACACAGCGAACGACTATCCCACTCTATATCGTCTATCAATCAATCGTTATAGATATTCCACGACTAGAAGAAGAAAAACAAACAGTCAGCACCCACTCCACAAAAAAGGGAGGGAGAAACGTACACTTCGCCACTGCAATCCCTTAGTGTCCGCAATAGGCCCATCAATCCCAAACGCCACGCCCTTGAACCACCAAAACGAGAAAAGCAACAGAAAAGCAAACACGCCAAAGAAGATGTTCTTGACTTTTGTAGTGAGGAGCTTCGATGAGAAGATGAAGTGGTCGAGCACGTGGGCGAGCATTAGGACTGCGAAGTAGAGGGTTGGGAGCTAAAGGGAGGGAGGAGGGTCAGATACGCGTTGGTGGTGGGGGAGGAGGGGAAGAGTTACACGTACGTAGTGGTGCAGATAGGTGACGCGATCCATGATGAGGAAAGGCACTATACAAGACATCAGCAGCTAAAGCGTGAAAAGGAAAAACGCCCAACCAAAGAACGCAATCTTCCCAACGTACAAGAAATGATCCCATTCATCTACACCCGCCAACAAGAAGATCAAGTTCAAAAGCAGACAGATTCAAAAAATGGCAAAAGAGAGAGCGCAAGTCGGGATGAGTTAACTGTTCAGTCCCCACTTAACCAGATTTTACCCTCAGACATGAAGCGAATATTCGGAATAAGATTTCTTGTAGATTGAACATCGGACAGATCAGAAGACTTATGAGTCATAGGTGAATTAACAAAAATCAACATGTCCTAGGAATGAAATAACCTGGTTCAGAAGATAAACATGATACGTCGGAACATTGCGCTCACTTTTGAAGACAACTGATGGAAGTAATATCGTAAGTCTCCTGAGATGGCGAAAAAAGCAATGAACTCACGGCCACGCTTTCCATCAACAGTTATGGCATTATATCCAGAACAAAACTCTTTGAAAAAAATAAAAAGGTAGTGTAAGTACTATCATAGTGTGAAACAGTGGAAAATGAGCCGTACCGCCAAACATAAGGTGTTCTGTTTCGAAGCCATCTGTGTACATGATTTCATCTTTCTTGAAGGAAAGCCAATACCGCCGCATATTATCTCCCTCTGTAGCCACGGACGGCAGATCAATAGCTTTCAGAATAGTTAACTCAACTTACCCCAGGAGGTTGCCTGTAATGCTTTGATCGGCATTGTGAATCTCGCGTCCACCAGAGGGACTGGGTCTTCAGGAGGAACTGGGCTCTGAGGAGGAACTGGGTTTCGAGAAGGGACTGGGTTCCGAGAAGGGACTTGAACGGGGATTTCGATTTCCTCTACCTTCGTCTGACTTTCTTGGGTCCGACAGATGACCGTAATGGGCTCATCAGCGACGCGACCCGGATAGTTGTACGCCTCTGGATGGGAGATAGGATCACTATCATTCATCGGCACATCACCGTCTATATCTTTGAACAGCTGAATGTTGTGGCCAATAAAGTCCTCAGCCTTCATAACCCGGAACTTCAACAAAGCCACTGTTTGAGGTGGAGCAACCGAGAGCATGCTGATGCGGCCCAAAGAAAAGTCCTCCGAATCAAAAGAAGTCTTTGAAGCCACTGCACCCTCTTCGTCATAAAGGCGGTAGTAAACTGAACAAGATACGGTATGTTCATTCAGGTAACGAGATTCAGATTGAACCCACCGTAACGTAGATTGGCATGTCTAGCTTCAGGTAAACCCTCCAACGATACTCTCGTTACTGATCGTTTTTCAACATCTTGCACCCCAACGACCAAGACGATAGGGTCGTCCTCAAATAAGCCCGGGCCAGTTGACCCCCTGAGCGACAATCGCGACGTTTCCTTAACTGCAGTCTGGCTTGAGAGTGATTCGAATAGTGTCGTGCTTGTGGCTCCCGATAAGCCTTCGATCTTGCACAGATGCTTTTTCACGGACGAGGTGGTAAGTGGGGGTGTGATGAGCTTTGGAAGGGTGCGGCTGATGTATAGGTCATTTGCGTAGATCGGATTGTTTGACGTGATTGACCCATATTTCGTGTAAAGCCGGTAGTATACTGAGTGCGCCTTTGTCTGAGTGGATACAGAGCTTTATGAAAGATAACACACTATAACGAGGGCCATTACCGCCGAGGGTTACCTGTGAAAATCAATGAAATTTTTGTTACGGTGTAGTGATCTGCACATACAGGCTCTCCTCGACCGTCCAACGAGTCTTTACCAGGACCAGAGTGAAGTGTAGATGATGCAAAAGACATAACCGGTACTTTTCTGGGAGTTTCAATATCGTAGACGAATAGGGATTAAGGTCTAGATGGATCGCCCGCCGGTTGCGCGGTTGGTTCCACGGTGATATGATAGCAGCAAAAGCGCTCAGGCTATTCGAGGAATCGTGAGAAAGGTATTGTGGTCCAATGGTCTACTTCAGAATAAGTGGCATGGTATTGTAACCGCAAAAGAAACCTCTTCTACCGTGAAGATGAAGTCATGAGGAACCTGGTATTTTCAAAGAAAACGCGAAGATACCGTGACGGACACACCTTACGATGCGTTTTCGAAAGTTGCGAAGCCCGTTTTTATGAGGAGTTCAAGCAAATGTGGAAAGAGGAGAAGAGTTGCCGGCTGCAAATTGCTCCAAACTCAAGCAAAGACTAGCAGGTAGTATCAAGTTGGACATGGAACAAGGATATCACTTTTTCAAAACTTAATGACAATTGAATAGGTGAAAGCTTTCCGAAAGTAATGCCAACACGGTCTCCTTACCCATGGTTGTCCGAACATAGTACAGACATAGGTACTTAGGCTTAGGAATTGATTAGCCAAACGCCGCACATGAGTGGTGATACGAAACTAATCCTCGTCCTAGATACATATATCAACCAAACAATAAGATTATTCGGGCAAGACACAGCGAACGACTAGTTATCCCACTCTATATCGTCTATCATTCAATCAATCAATCGTTATAGATATTCCACGACTAAAAGAAACACCCAAACAGTCAGCACCACTACACAAAAATAGGGGGGAAAGGAAACGTACACTTCGCCACTGCAATCCCCTAGTGTCCGCAATAGGCCCATCAATACCAAACGCCACGCCCTTGAACCACCAAAACGAGAAAAGCAACAGGAAAGTAAACACGCCAAAAAAGATGTTCTTGACTTTTGTAGTGAGGAGCTTGGATGAGAAGATGAAGTGGTCGAGTACGTGGGCGAGCATTAGGACTGCGAAGTAGAGGGTTGGAAGCTGGAGGGAGGCAGGGAGGGAGGTCAGATACGCGTTGGTGAAGGGGGGGAAGAGTTACACGTACATAGTGGTGCAGATAGGTGACGCGACCCATGATGAGGAAAGGCACTATACCAGACATCAATCAGCAGCTGCAGTTGATAAGAGTGAAAACGAAAACAACAGACCATAATGGAACACCCAACCAAAGAACGCAATCTTCCCAACGTACAGGAAATGGTCCCATTCATCTACACCCACCACCAAATCAGCTCTCTCCATCTGGCAGAAGAAAAGAAAAAAACAACTCACGAGCATCCATATCATGATACTTCCTCTGCCACCTCAACAAATAAATACCCAACGCGAACAAACCGACAAACAAACTTATCGAGCTCGCCCACCATATAATAGGCGTGCCCATGAGGTAATACTTGAGCTGCGTGTCGCCCCAGCCACACATCCTCAGTCCAAGGTGTAAGAAGGGCCAGTCAAACGGCTTCGACGCCAATATATCCTCCTTATCCGGATCTGGGATGAGCGCGTTGTTGGACGTCATCATCGCTACATTGAGGTGCCAAAAGTCCCGAAGGAAGGGGGAGCGGTAGAATTTGGTGTCGCCTGCTGGTACTATATCACAACAATCCCGTTAGCCAAATCAAGAAAAGAAAGGGTGAGAAAGGAAAGGTAAAACATACACCGATCATTCCAATGACTCTCCACATTCCAATACGTATGCACGTCCTTGGGGTTATTCTCCTTATCACAACTAACCTCCACCTGCTTGAACCCCCACTGCGGCAAAATCGCATTCGCAGCGCGGAGATAACACCCCAACGCCTGATGCTTAAACCTCAAGCGCGTCGTCAAAGAGTGTATCCGATCCACACTCTCCTTCGGTCCTTGCTTGATATCATCCACAACCTCCACCTGCCAATAATCATGATTATCCCCGATCGTTTCGTTCCCGTAACACGACACTTCGTAGTTCAGCTTCGTAACGGGCGCGAGGACCGTGTGGGAGTGGAGATTCCGCGTGGTGGCGGCGTGGTTTAGACGGATGACGTCCCCGTCTTTGAGGAACCGGATGGGGTCGTTGGGGTTGTAAGGAGGCTCGTCCCAGCGGGGGAGAACGACAAAGTCGTTGTTGGAGTCTTTGTAGTGATAGCAGGTCACTTGTTGTTGGGTGGACCCCACCGGATAGGATTGCACGTGAGAGTGGAGGAGGCCACCGCCCCAGCCCATGTTTTTGAGGGTTAGTTTTGAGCCGTAGGCGATTTCTAAAAAAGGATTATTAAGGACGTTGTTTGAAAGGGCAAAGGGACAACAAACCAAGTGGGTTTTTGGCAAAGTCGTTTCCGACGAGGTTGGCTTGGAAGAGCGAGCTCATTTGCGCGTCACCTGGGCCTGAGTGGTTCAAGACCATGAAATGGATTTTGAAGGAAGCCATGAAGACGAGGATGGGGACGACGATGAGGCAAGCTATGCGTGCACCCCAATGTTTTAGTTGGTCTCGCTGCGATAGGTATCAGCTGGTCTGCTCTACGCTAACGTGGAATGAGACGCACCACTGGCATTTTGGTGTCTCCAAACTTTTCCCATAGATCTTCGATTGTGTAGACGCCCACGAGAGCCGTGACGAATAGACCAATCATTTTGACGCTGGTAGACGGTTAGTACTGACCTTCCGATGGGAAGGAAGCTTGCACACACCTGGTTACGCAGCCGATGGAAAAGCCGGTGAGGAATAACCAGAGCCACCAATCAACAGAAAAGGATCTAAAGAACACGTCAGCTTGGGTATGATGAGGTGAAGAACCGGCCGTACTGGTACTGTTGATTATGGAACTTGGTCAAGCAAAAAACGGTAAGGAACGTGAAGAACAGAAGCATAGAGTCCAGGAGGATAAACCGAGAAATACAAAGCCAGCCGACATCTACAGCGCATCATCAACAAACTCGAAGTGAAAAAGGAAAAAGAAAAAAAAAAAAAAAGGGAGGCCAAAAACTCACCAAAAAGAACCATCATAGCAGTCAAATGACAAGCCCACAAACTCATGCCCAACTCAAGCGCAGTATACCAAGCAAGCGGCACCATCCCCACCCCAAACGTAGCCAACATAACCCTCATAGCAACATACGGCACACCCTCCGGATACACTTCCCCACTCTTAAACTCAAACCCACCATCATACCCCGAAAGCAGCCCCGCAAGACCCACGAGCATCTTCCCCAACGGGGGGTGCACGTCAAAGTAGAACTCCCGTTTTAGGTAGTGGGACCCGAATTTACCGAAATGGGCTTCGTCCCAGACGACGATGTTGGATGCGCCGATTTTGTGGAAGCGGGTGTAGCAGGAGAGGAGGGTGTAGATTATGGGAGGGATGTGTTCGAGGTTTTGGTAGAGGAATTCGCGCTGTGTAATAGGTGAGTAAGTTAGTTGAGGGGTTGGTAGATGGAGGGAGGGGGAGACTTACGATAGACGTTGGCGGCGGAAGATGTTGTTGCTGTACACGGCCACTGCTGATCCTCCTTTGAGCAGCAGCCCTTGGCTTATTATAAACATCCTTGCCCTCATCGTCATCGTCATATTGCTCCTTTTCATACGGATCAAAGCTGCCAGCGCTGCTCGCCCCCGTCACAAGTTGGCCCGTCCTGACCCTCCTCCGGGCCTCGCCTTCAGACATTGAATAAAGCGGTAGCTGCTGCTGCTGCTCTTCGGACCAATGATGATGATGTGTCGTTGTTGGGTAAGAAACGTCTTCAAACCCGAATGAGGAGGAGTCCGAGTCTGAACGTGGCAAGTTATAGTCAGGATCAGGTGTGCCAAAATCAACAGCTACGGCGGAAGGTTTCATGAATTCAGGGTGTTACCCCTTTCACTAGGGCTTCAATTGGCTATTTTGGCGATGGAAAGAAGGAAGGTTTGTTCTTGGTGAGGGGTTCGCTAGATATGTAGGCCGATAGGAGGAGAGTGCTAGGAGAGGTTTGACGGACTGCGGCTGGCACATGATCTCACTGCCACGTCAAAAAACAGGCCGTAGAGTGAAAATATATACAGCAGGGTAAAGAGAGATAAGAAACGTAAGGAGATCGACTACGTTAGATGCATCGAAATACTTTTGCCAAATGCACAGGAAGATGTAATAGGGAACCGAAAAAACGGAGTAAGTACAGAACGTCGCAAACCCAACTCTGGTCTACTTTTGATGCCGTTGATACACAGCTGCGAAAGAAAGGTGGGTCAGCAATGAGTTTAGCGGAACGACGACAAGAAGCATACCAGAAACCATAGCGTGATCACGCTCATACGGCTCGAGGGTGACCTGTTCAAGGGGTCTGAACCGGCTTTCTTTCAATTTTTGCACCTCCGCGGCAAAGAGTGTCTCTGGTGGCACCGTTGAGTCGATACAGCTGGCTTTGATGGAAATGATGACGTGGCCCTGGTCTTTGAGGAAACTTTCTGCGTTGTGGATGACGATACGGGCTTGGTCGGGTTGGGCGACATCTGCAAAGATGACGTCGACTAGTGACAGGAGCATGCGGTACTTGTTGGGCAGCCGAGCATCCTCGACGATGGCTGGTGGGGGATGATCAGTTGGGGGAGTAGAGTACAAAGGCTAGAGGAGACGTACGAATGACATTCGTCCTCTTCTTCGCCATGTTGATGAGATCACGGCCAGAGCGCGGTGAGAACTCTACGGCGTACACCACACCTTCCTATAAATGAGATAAAAAGCGTGAGTGAAAGCCATCGAAAAAAAAGGCAACGAAAAGGACGTACAGGACCAACGATATCCGCAACATGGCTCACACTCGTCCCACTCGCAGCACCAAGGTACAAAACCTTCGCACCAGGCTTGATAAAAATATCATCCAACCCACCAAGCACGCCCGCCGCCAACTTGCTCCTAAACGGATTCCAAACCCTATACTCCGTCTTCGTCCCCTCCACACCACCCTCAATCGATATCCTCTTCTCCCCATACACACTCTCCCCCGGCACCAAATTCTTCGTAACCAGCATATGGTCTTTCCCCTTGGCGATGAACACCCCAGCGTGTCTATGCGGCTCCAAGACGGTGTTGCTTCCCCCTTTGGCTCCACCACGGCCACCACCACCACGGCCTCCACGACCGCCACCGCGGGCACCTCTACCACCTGGGGCACCGCGCCCGCCTCCGCGAGGTCCACCACGACCGCCACCGCGTCCTCCTCTGTCGCCAAATCCTCCTCTGTCACCAAATCCTCCACCTGAAAAAAGTCAAAGAAGGAACAAAGGTCAGCTTTGTCTGATAGGTGGGGTGTGTAGAGATGGATGGATGGATGGGGAAAGGAAATGAGATACGTACCCCCACGAGCACCACCACGACCTCCTCCTCGTCCACCAGGAGCTCCCCTCCCTCCTCCTCCTCCGCCTCGTCCTCGTCCGAAACCGCCACGGCCTCCAGATTCACCTGTCATAAGTGTTAGCTATGTATACGTATAAGAAATGAGGTATTAGCTACACACCGAATGCCATTTGTGTTTGAGGATGTTAACGTTTTCTTGGTTGAACGGACAAGAACAATTTTTTTCGATTACCTGATAAGTATGGGGTACAAATAAGAGATAACATTCGATTTGGAAAATCTTATCTTATCTCTTACCACGCAAGCCAATACTGATTTTACAAGCTCCAGCAACGGGTACTCTATCGGACTCACTCAGGCTTGTTGGTTGCCAGCGTACGGTTCCAACGGACTTTCTTGAACAAGTTCCATAGAACGCACTTCAACTTTTCTGATACACAAGTGGTGGGGCATTCGAAAGTCTGAGAACCTCAGCATGATTTACACTTTTACACAACTGGCAGTTCACGCCTCGCGCCGGCTGCCACTGCCACTCACTAAGAGGCACGAGTCGCGAATTCAGCGGATCGCACACCTCACCAGGACAGGACCTCTCAACTTGAAGATACCTTCCCCTTGTCAAGTTCAAGTCACTGCACGGCACGAATCCACCCAGGAGCTCGCTTTACGTCCCCACCTTCAACAACCTCCGATTCTACGACCAACAAGCTTTTGAGTTGACCCCCACTTCCTTCCTTCCTTCCTTCCAGATGGATGCTGTCTCTAGCTGTGCGCTCCCATGGTACCCGATTTCCGATGCATAATTGGCTTGTGGATGTGCGTCCTACGATCCAGGAATGGGAGCGAAGGTTCGACGGTTAGGTGTTGGTGGTGTGGGGCCCCAAAGTGCGTTGCGGTGGATTTGAATGCGTTGGAACGCGTCCCGGGTCAGTACTCGCGCGGCGACTCGGAATATGAGCCGGGCTCTTCATTAACTGATAAGTAACATCAATTTAATCTCTCACCGCCATTCTATTCCCCGCAGTCAATGTGCTCAATGGCAGTGACTTCAGTCTTCTTACACAAAGATCATCATAATAATCTCCCTCTCGGCGTTGACGGCGAGGACCAGTCGACTTTCCCTCTCGATCCGCACGTCACCCACGTTGTACGTCTTTCCCGAACCTTCTCATCCAAGTTTTTCCTCTCATGCGCATACAAACTACCTATTCAAGCTCCCGGCACACAAAGGGAATGCGTGCCGAATGTTTATGTAACTCGCTGCACCCCTTGCTCTGCCGATCAAAGCGCCGCTGGAGGGATGGTGAAGATGCAAAGAGATGAGATGATGGAATTACTTACAAAGGCTACGTCGTGTGAGTTTGTTTCCTTGCTGTCGACGCGTTTATATAGACTTACTACGACGCTCTTACTCATTCTCCCACTGGCACCAGACTACTTAAGTGTCGGTACCATCCTCAGGCTTGTCCTCCCATTCTATTCTTCCCGGCTGCTTTCCTTTAACAACGATCTGGGACGAGACGTTTCTTACTATGTCTACCTCCTCGACAACTCACGAACCCGACGCCTCCGACGACCTCACCGATATCGAGAAACAACGACCTAATACTATAAGCACCGAATCCCTAACAAAGGAAGAGGAGAAACTCGCACTGTCAGATTCGGCCGTCGTTCAACTTGAAGTCCCCGCACACGACTCAATATTCGACGAAGAGTACCCCGACGGTGGGTTCAGAGCGTGGCTTATTGTTTTCGGGGTCAGTACCACTTACCCTCATGAGTCACCTCCGAGTCGCACCCATCTCAATTCAGCTTGCTAATAAAATTTATTTTAGGCGATGTGCAACACTTTTGCAACGTTGGTTTTCACTTTTCTCCTTGCTCCTTCAAGTTTATCCCCGTCTACACATTGATCTGTTATGATCATAAATCCGAGTCCGAGTCGCTCCGGCTTCTTGACATGCCGAAGGCATTAATGGGGTAGCACGCTGCACGAGACTCATTTCCGTGACGTCCATCTATATGTTTTGATTCTGACAATAATAACCATCGTTCTATTTATAATAGGTTCGGTTACGTCAATTCTTGGGGTGTGAGTGCTCGCCCCGCCTTTCCAATGATTTTGGGCTGATATCTGGGAACAGATTTTTCAAGCCTACTATCAACTAACCCTCCTACACGACTCGCCACCATCAAGCATGTACGTGTAACCTCATCTCATCAAAATTCATCTTCCTGTGCTAAACTCAGTAATATAATAAAGCGCGTGGATAGGTTCCATCCAAGTAAGCAGTCCCCCCTCATCCCTTCCGAGTCTACATAGTACTAATTGAATTTCGTCAGTACGCCCTCATATTCCTCCCAGCAATATTCATAGGCCGCCTATTCGACCTGGGCCATTTCCGCGTCCTATTCCTCTCCTCAAGCGCGCTCTTAGTAGGCGCGACGTTCTTAGTAGCGCAATGTACGCAGTACTGGCATTTTCTCCTTTGTCAAGGGATAGCCGTTGGGGTGCGCATCGCTTTTTTTTTCCACTTCTGCCCTCCGTTGATGGATGAATGAATGAGCAGGCGGCGTGCGGAGGTATTTTCGGACCTACCGCCGCGGTCATCGCGCATTGGTTCAAGAAGCGGAGGGGGCTGGCTATGGGGATTGTAGCTGTTGGATCGTCGCTTGGGGGCGTAGTTTTGCCGATTGTCACTAAGAGCTTGATTCCGGTGGTTGGGTGAGTTCATGTTTTCCCAGGCGTCCTCTGACGGGTTTTTGGATTATAGCTTTCCGTGGACGATGAGGGTACTCGGATTTATCCTCCTTGTAGTCTTGGGCGCTGCGAATTTGGTAAAAGATTTTTTTTTTGCGTTTTGGTGTGGATTGTTGTTAAAAATATATGCTGTAGACCCTGAAACGGCGTCTACCATCTCGAAATGTACCGGGAGGCCTCTTCAACTGGGGCGCCTTCAAATCGGCGCCTTTCTCCGTTTATTGCGCCTCGGCGTTTTTCAACTTTCTTGGATTATACACCGGTATGAATCACAACTGTCCGGCTCCAAAAGTACTGATGGATCATTCTTCTGTTCGTAAAGTCCTGACTTACGTCGACGTCAGCGCAGCTTCAATCGGCATATCCCCTTCGTTCTCCTTTTATTTTGTCGCAATCGCAAACGCAGGGTCTCTCCTAGGTCGCTACGTCGCTGGGTATATGAGCGATCGACTCGGTAAGACCAAACATTTCTTTTTGTTACTTTTTCTTATCCGGCGTCACTAATTAATTAGGTCCAATGAACATTATGATACCCTTTACCGGAGTAGCCGGGATATTAACCTACGCATGGCCATTCGCCAAGACGAAAGCGTCGCTTCTCGCTTTGACGGTTCTTTACGGGTAATGAATGATATTTCTACAGCAGCGAATTGACTGACACCCGGAACAGGTTCGCTTCGGGTTCATATATATCTCTGCTCGCCAACCCAATGATGGATCTGGGAGATACGCATGATGTCGGCAGAAGGCTAGGAATGTTTTTGAGTATCATGTCCTTTGGCGCGTTGGCTGGCCCTCCAATATCGGGCGCGATTAATACGGCGACTGGGAGTTTTACTGCTGTTGGGGTTTATGCAGGTAAGCGGTGATACTTACTTAGAACGCTCTTGCGATGTGTGATTTATTTGTTCTTATTCTTACAGGAACGATGGTGATGGTTGGAGTGGGGTTGATTGGCGTCACTCGCCACTTGTTGCTGAAACAGTTTCTTGGGAAAATTTAGACAACCGTTAATTAAATGAGATGCACTACTCCTGCCGCAGTTTTTGTATAAATGTATGTACTACAGCTCAATATGTAAAATTATTTTGGACATTCATCATCCAGCCGGGCAGAACCTCATTAGTGAGGTTTACATTCCCCCAATGCGCCAGGCACAAAAAAGCGGTGGACAAGACTCATCGACTGCACATGGTGAAGTGATGCTATGGGACACAGAATAAGAGTTTATGCGGAGGTTGACATGCGGGGTTATATTTCGCGACATCAGACTCAATCATGACCGTGCAAGTCATATATTCCAAACACATATACCGACACAGGCGTCGACGTACAGGACAACATTGTTACAAAAGATTTCAAGAAAACATACTGCGCACTCCGACGCGCCGAGATACCAAGAGTAACGGGGATGCAACCGATGACAACGACGCCGGACTAAAAGTTCATTCAGATAATAAGAAGTCAATGAACGGAGGAGCACACTCACGAAGTTGTTATACTGGCAACAAACGGGCTGAGCGGTGCACATCCCACCTGCGCCGATACCGAGGTAGTTGATGGAGGTGCAGCCAGCCCCGCAGAGTGTAGTAATGGGGACAACGACAATGCCAAGGATGGCGAGGAGGGGGGCTATGATGCCTCCGTTTACCTACGCGACAAGGGTGGATCGTCAGGATTTTTTTTACAGAGGAAAAGGAAAGTTACTCACAGGCTGAGTATTATTGCAGCACCAGAGGTCTGGGGGGGGGCACAGGCTTGCGGGCATGGGGGTTGGAACTGGTGCGTACTGGAGACAAACGGTGAGGTCCAAGTCAGCTCAGTGGGTGAGTTGCCACTCAAGTATAATAACGCACGGTGGTGGCGGTAACGGTCTGGGTAGCAGACACGGCAGCGCCAAAAGCTAGAAGGACGAGAGCAGTCGAGAGACGAGAGAACTTCATATTTGTTGAATGTGAGGGATTGATTAGCTTGTGGGCTGTTCGAATGAGGAAGAGACTTTATACCTACAGGCCAAGGTCAGTGCGCAATTAGATGGTAAGACTCAGGGACTCACTTTACACATGAAATGGTCATTGGAACATCGATACTTGATTTATTCCCATCGGTCCTTGGAACCCGCAATAGTTCCAGAGCGTAGTATTGGCCAAAATAGGAATATTTTGAGGAAAAAATAATACTGAAGCCTCGAGAAAACCGATTGGCTCATTTGTCCGAGTCTCGGTAGATGCGAGCGTGCGAAATGAAGATACGAGCGCGTGCGCTAGTGAGCTTGAAGCACTGATATGTCGTAATGAAATGTGTCAAGCCTTTGCTGCATGAAGCTAACGTTCTTTTCTCGTGGGGGGACAACCGCAGGTTGGCCAGATGTCGGAGCAAAAGCTATGACAATGGAAGTCCGATCAAGACCCGCAAGGATTTTTAGAATTGTTTGTAGACCGTCAACGATTGAATTTTGTCTTATGCGAAACCTCTGCTTCTTAGGATGCCCTGAGTTGATCTACTCAAGAAAGTCGAGACACGTCAACTGATAACTGTGCCTTGGGGTATAGCCATGGTGAGCACCTACCAGGTTGAATCGTAGATGGATGTAGAGAAGTTGGAATCTGGCCCTGGAATTAAGCGACGTGGCAGTCAAATTTCAATGCGCTGGGCGTATAACCTATTTTGACACCCATTTAAAATCACGACTTGTAGCCAAGTATGCCTTTAGTAACAGCCTGGTCTAGTCGAGGGGCCCAGGCTAACAGCGGTTTTGAGAATCGGCTTTCTCATGCGCTGCGTTCAATGGTCGAGTGCCGACTCGGGAACACGTAAGATCATTCTTGTTTCGGAGCTAGATGCACTACTAATTCAGGCGGGTGTACAGTGGGGGACAAGCCCGGGCTATCCATACCAGTTTCCTGTGATTTTCCAGAACCATATTAGCGGATTTAGAGAGCGGCCAGCGATGAAGCTGCAAGCATTGACACTGGTGGCAGGATGACTTTGATTTTCGAATCCGAATTCCCATAAGTTTTACTGAAGACGTCAGTTTCGGTGAAGGCTCAGAGTCGCGATGAGAGCTCGGTGGGCTTTGAGCGTCCAGGTGAGCCAAAGGTGAGCCCAGCACAGAGGTGTTGATCACACAGCGTGACGTCACGCGCCAAACAGTCAGCGACAGTCACATTGCTCCGAGTCACCTATATTGCCCCTATACTTCTTCACAACTTCAAGTTATGTGTGTTCCACCTTCCACCGTCGGACAACCTTGTCACTTCCTGGCCACCCATGCTGGAACCCATTGGTCAACAAGCCCTCGATCTTCCCAACGAAGTTTTACTACATGTTTTCCACTTCTTCCCCTTAGAGGCACTCATCATCGGGCGAACAGTATCTCAAGATTGGAGGCGGTTGATACCACTTGCTGATATTTCTCCCATACGTCGGGCCTTCCTTGACTTCTACCTCACGCTCGTCAGCTCACCGATCTTTCCACAAACCCGCCCTTGGGTCCTTGCTAACCTCCAGCCTTTCGACCGCCAAGCGTATATCGATGACCTGATGCGCCAGCATCCCTATGTTCCAGAGGCCTTTCGCGTCTGGATCTTAGAGTGGCCAGCGCGGGCAGTGATTGGGTGTGTGTGGCCAGGCTTGCCCAATCTCTACTCTAGACGCCCCTGTGTGGATGATGTCCACCGAATAGAGGGAACAAACTGGCTGGCGCCAGTACCTCCTACGGTCTGTGCCATACCATTTAAAAACTGTACCCCGGAAGCCGAATTCATTCCTGCGCTCTCCATCTTCTACGGCAACGAATCTACCATCTAGCTCATGCTTGACGAGAGAGATACTCTTCGGGACAAGGTTTATACTTTCTTTGAAGGTGGTAATGAGCTTTGGGAGGAGGATGGTTCGACGGAATGGGATGTCATTGATGCGGACTGGATCGGGTGGCAACGACGGACGTGGGACAACGTCGAAGCGGCGGCGAGGGAAAGAGCCCAGAAAAACATACCAATTCTCCAGCTTGAGACAATACCACCAGACGTACCTTTCGTCGAGTGCTGGTATTATACTA